TACCCCTGAGCCTCCAGGGCTGTTTCTGACTCTTTCCCCCGAGGCCTTTGGGCTTCACAGGGTGTGGGAAGTAAGCAGGGTCCTTCCATGCACCCGTTAAAATATTTCACGAGGAGGGGGTGGGGAGTAGGAAAGGGCAAATTCATTACTTACTGTGGCAAGTAATGTAAATTGCGAGTGGAAATTAATTAGGAACTAGTCTGCTTACAAAAACGGGTGTGCCACTACGGGGTGTGAGAAAAACCAGGTTGCCCTTTTGAAGCAGCAAGAACCGTTGAAGTCGGAAGTAGAACCCAGACCCAGGCCGCCCAAAGTGCTGCTGGGTATGCGAGCAGAACCCAAGCGGGAGGGCCCGCGCACGGCCGCGCATGCGCTTCAAGTAACGTTTTGATGCTGTTACACAGGGCTGTTGGCGCGTCCTGGTGCCCAAGTCCCAAGTCTTGAATCCCTATTTAAAATCGGTTTTTATTTCCCCCCGTAATGAAAGGGAGCGAGCGGGTCGGTTCCGAGCGGGGAATCAAGTTGTGAGTGACTGAAATAAAAACCCAAAAGGCCATTCGGGTTCGAGTCACGGGTGCGAGTTAAGCCTGATTTGACTCGACTCCCCATCCCTGGTGTTACGGAGACGGACATCTGCCTCCATCAGGGGCATTTCTGGCTCGGTTTCGTTTCATTCGTTCGCCTGTTTTCCTTTCCACTGTTTCCTGATCCGTCCTGTTTTTCTCGAGGGAATTTCTTTCATTGTATATTTTCTGGGGGGGGGCAATGGAAAATATGGGGCACGCCAGACAGGAGCTCTGCCCCCCCACCAGAACGGGCTCTGCCCCACCTTGGCTACCATTTTTCCTGACGTCCAAATGAGCAAAGACCAAGAGACCCTAAAAATGTATGAAATACAGAAAGCTAGAATCCTTGGGTCGTGTCGTGAGGCGGTCAGTCAGTGACGGCTGATCGTTCGCAGTAAAAGAAATGGGCGAATAAGTGCCAGAGCGAAAGGGCCGTGGCCCTTGCTGCCACCGTGGAAGGAGGGAGGAGTAGCCACGGAAGCGCCCACCGGCCGGCCTGCTCCCCACAGGAGAAGAACGGGAAGAGGAAAAGGTCTCGGTGCACTTGACCAGCCTCTCTCTCTCTCTCTCCCCTCTTCCGCAGGGGAAGGTGGAAATGACCCTGGAGATTGTCAATGAACAGGAGCAGGACGAAAGGCCTGCCGGGATGGGCCGGGATGAACCCAACATGAACCCCAAGCTGGAAGACCCAAAGTAAGAGGGGCTGAGCGTCTGTGGGTCCCGTGAATTCTCAGGGTCTTCTGGCAGGGCTCCCCCCCCGCCTGCTCTCCCTCTCTCTCTCTCTCTCAGCTCAAGTGGATAAAATGAGTAGCACAGGACACTGTTTGGGGGTAGATGATGAGCAGGGGGCCCTCTTGGACCTCTCGGGAGAATGGCTGCCTGAATCCTCCAGTCGGAAGAGCCACTGGCTTGGAAATTCTGGGAACGGGTGGGTGGGTGGTCGCAGCAGATTTCCTAGCCTCTGTACCCACATGGCACTTCCCCACAGCCCTCCGTCTGTCAATTCATCACCATGGGAAAGGCTTGAGAACCCCCTTCTTTGTGTGCAATAAGCACACTGAATTCCTTTCTTGACCTCTGGGTGCAGAGGCATGCTCAAATGGGGGCGCGGAGAGAGAAGGGTGGGGTGGGTGACGGAAGGACTCCCTCTTTTCCTTTTCTGACTCTCTCCCAGGGGGCTCTGCTGATTCGGCAGCCCTGAAGGGCTCCCTGCCTACCATCAGCGCCCTCCCCTCTCCTCAGCCTCATCGGCTGTGGTCATCATTTGCACAAATACTTGGGCATGGAAGAGCGGTCCTAACAAGGGGGTGGGCGCCCGATGCAAGAAACGCCTCCAGGGGTTTTGGCCAGGGAGTCTTTTCCACCCAGGGAGCGAAGGAGGTCAGAGGCAGCCCTGCCTGGCGCATCTCGAGGTGCCTGGTACACCTTGTCTCCTGTCCGAGGCGCCCGGCCCAGCTGGTTGGTGCCTCTGCTCCTCACCTTGGCTTCCAGCTGACCAAGGATTCTCTCTCTCTGGTGGCAGGCGCCCGGAGACCTCCTTCCTGTGGTTCACCTCTCCTTACAAGACGCTGAAGTATATCCTCTGGAGGAGGTTCAAGTGGGCCTTCCTCCTCATCCTCCTCATCTTCATCATGCTGCTGTTCCTGGGAATCTTCATCTATGCCTTCCCGGTAAGTTGCATGAGCTGGCCTCGAGGGGGCCGTGAACGCAGCCCTTCTCCCCATAGAAAACCTGGCGTCCTTCTCCTCGAGATGCCGGAGGGGAGCCCTTCCCACCTTTCTGGTCACCTTTCCCTTTTGGGGAACCCTCGGCAGTGGGTGCGCCTGGGGCCCCAGCACCAGAGCAGAGCAGGAAGCGGGCAGGGACCGTAGCCCCAGCCAGAGAGTGGAGACCCACACCTTTCTCCTTCTTGCACACATAAACACGCACGTGTGTACAGCCACATTGGCTCAGAAACTGGCGCTGCCCACACACCTTGGCATCTTTGCAGCTGGAGATGCAGGGGGTGAGAAATTCTTGGGAGAAGGGAGAAATGCCGTTTCAGGAAGGGAAAGCCAAGAAGCCCCATAGAAGGGGATTCCGGGAAGGCCCTGATGTGGCCTGGCTCCGGAAGGGGCTTCTGAATAAAAGAGATGATCTCTTGACATCCCTGAAGGCAGCCCCTTGGCCCGCTTCAAGTGCTCATCCTCGGAATTATGGCCCCATCTTCCTCTAAGCGTCGCTCCAGAGCTTTCCGGAGGAAGCGTAAGAAAAAGCCCACCCACCAGAGAAGCGCCTGGGTCTGGAGGCGTCTCTTCTGCCCTAAAAATCAGCCTGCGGGGAGGGGGGTTGGCTCCTGCTTCAGTGCCAGCCCCTCCCCACGTCCAAGGAAAATGTTCTCATTAGAGAGGGCTTGGGTTCCATCTGCAAGTGAAAACAGGAATAAAAGAGGAATAAAATAAAAGTAAAAATAAGCCAGATTGCACCTTGGATGGAAACTTCTGCAGAGCGGAGAAGGTGCTCTGGAAACTTGGTCCAGCTTGAATCACTTAAAGATGATGGTGTGATGGGGAGAGTTTATAAGCATCCACGCTGAGCGGCTGCTTAGGGCTGGGCTTGAGAGAGGGGGCACATTCCTAGCCCCCCCAAGCCGCCTTCTGATACCCAAAGTGGAGGAAGCAGCTGCCGCCTCATTAAGCAGGTTGTCCCCCCCCTCGTTACCTCCCTCTCCCCACCTCCCTCACACACTTCAGCTCCTTTGCAAAAAGCCCTCAAATCCCACCCGTCTGACAGGGACTGAGCACCTCGCCTTTGAAGGGAGGGAGCAATCCACGCGGTGAAACCCCCCCCCCCTGCCCTGCCCAGGAGATGTGTTCAGACGCACACCCTGGTCCGATCAGGAAAAAACAGCTCCCCTTTCCTTTGTTCCGCACATTGCAAATTCTCCGGCTGGGATATTGAAAACATACCCACTTGAGCTCGATCGTGATGAAGGAGGCGGCGAAGGGTGTATATGGGGGTAATTCTTGCGGGTGGAGGGGTGCCGAATCTCAGTTTCTGGAAGGCTTCCACCACTGCTGATGGCTCCCCATGAATTTCCTACCCCTGTCTCCCTAAACCTGTTAATTGGCCAGGAATTCACCCCAAGGACTCACTAGGAGCTCGAAACAGCCGGGCTTGATGATCTTCCCAGGCCAGCTCCGCCAGGCAGAGCCACCTGCTCCCGGAGAACGGTGGCCAGGCCTGGGGCTTGCGGGAGATGCCCTGGAGGGTCATAGGTGGGGGGGGGCAGCAAGAAAGCTGGTCGTGAGCCTGGGGGGGGGAAACTCCCCCAGCCCAGCCCCGAAAAAGGCCAAAGAGCAGGGCTCGAAGCCTGCCTTGTTTTGGAATGCAGCTCCCCAAATCTCAAAGCCCAGAGGGCTCCTTGGTCCTGCGCAGAGAGGAGCTGGGGCTTCTCCCCACGTCTGAGGTGTGGGGCAAGGTCTGCTAATAACTTCCACGTGTCCCAAGCCAACAGGGAGGACGCTAGTCACTTCTCATGTGGTGAGTCCCTCTGCCCAAGACCCAGGACCTGGTGCCACGGGAGGCCACCCGTGGGCGCCACCCTGAGCCCGCTGCCTCTTCGAGTTTTCTTCTGCTGGATGCTCTCTTAGGCAGAGGGTTTCCTTTTCCTGCACCGGAAGAGGTTTTTTTTTTTTTAAAGAAAGGGTGACTGTGCACCAAACTCCGTGGTGGCTGCAGGTTTACCACCCGTTTTGCACCTTGTTTTGCACCCTGTCCTTCCTTCTGCAGATGGGCAAACGTGGGGCTGTACGAACTCCTGCCCTTGACTGGTTGCTTCAGAGGAGGAGGAGGATCAGAGGGGTTCGGCCGTCCCCATGGCCTGCACCCTTTAAATTGGCTGGAGAGTCTTTCTCTGCCTGTAAGGAGGCACCGTTGGTGGTCCTGACTCAGCCTGAGGCCTCCTGCCCCACTTGTGACCTCCCCAAAGGCAGCCAGTCGGCCACCGGGGTGGAAAGAGAAGCCTCCTCTCCTCTCGCTTCTTGGCTTCTCCCCCAAGCCGGGGGCAGGTTCCTTGTGGCTCCCATCACCCTTGGCCAGCTTGGCCCGTGCCAAGAAATTGGGATTCCTGGGTCCTTCCGTCTTCCTAGTTCTTGGCTTTGTAGCCAAAGGGATGGAAGGGCTGGAGGGTGAGGCTTCCGCGTCTGGTCATCCACCCCTTTCCAGGGATTGTCAGCATGTTCCCTCGGAGACCATTGCTTCTCAACTGACTCACCTCTGCGTCAGAGGCATACCGGTTTGGGACCTGCGCTTGCTTTTCTGGAGCCCTTTGGGTGGTGCAATCAGCCTTGAGCCCTCAGGGGCGAAGCAGAACAGAAGTTGAACTTGATTTATGAAAATTTTTGGGCCCTCTGACTCATATTTCTGAAAAGGAACCGAGGCATGTCATGGAATTTCTTGGCTTTCCTTGATTTGGATGAGATCTCTCTCTTCCCTCTCCCCCCCCCCGAACCCGGTCTCTCCCTTCCTCCTTCCCCGTCTTCTCCCCAATTTTTGAGGTTGCTGACTTCAATGTCTCCCCCTGGCATCGGGTTCTTGTTGCGGCTCTGTTCCCTATTACTCTTTGGCAAAAGATGATGCTCGCGGGGAGGGGGAGGGGGAGACTGGTGGGGCCTCAAGTGTCAGGGATACCCCAAACCCAGAGATCTCTGGCAAGCGCCCTCCAGATGACTTGCCGTTTCCTCTTGGAATGAAGGCAGATGGAAAATAATAGAACGATCCTTTTTAAAGGAAAACCGTGATGGGATCAAGCCGCCTGCCGTCACACGGAGGAGTGATGAGGTTGTGTGGAGGTGACCACCGTTGGCCACGTCACTTTCCTGAGGCAGACCTGCCCAATGGAAGAAAAACACCCAGGGCCGTCCTTCCCAGTGGCCACCCCTCGTGGCCCACTGGGGGCTCTGTCCTCCCATTTTTTGGGGGGGGCTGGTATTGTGCGGAGCTACACAAAGTTTGCAACAAAGGAGACTCACCACGTGCCCAACCTTTGTGCTTCAGCAGGTGGAGGGAAGGTACGGATTGCCAGATGTTGCCGGACTCCAGTTTCCCATCACGCCTACCTGTTGGTCGGGCTGGCTACAGCGGATGGACACTGGAGCCCAACAACAGCCGGAGGCGAGTCGGTTCCCTGTCGCTGCCCCGGTGGGATTAGCGAGACGGCAGAAATACACAGGACCCTTCCCACAAAACAGGGAGCGGGGGCAGAAGGCCCTGTTCATTCAGCAAATCTCGGACAGCGCCGGCCCCAGGGTCCACGCTTCCAGTGACGTGCAACGGCGTCTTCTAGACGTGGGCCAAAACTGAGCCGAGGCTCACTCCACTTTTGGGGTGCAGTGCATGAGCCTCCAGGCTTCGGAGTGCCTCTGCACTGCCATGTGATCCCACTTTTAAGTGCAACGGCTTCATCCCATGGGACTCCTTGGCGTCTGGAGCTGAGGCAGGCGCTTCACCTACTCTGCTCAAGAGCTCTCGCGCGGTTTGGGGAAGGCCACCCACGCTCCCTTGCCACAGGCCCCAGGGTGAGCGGTGGCGGTGACCGTCGGGTTGAATGGCCGTAACGGTGTCGTGGAGTTGCACTCGAGCCCAGATCCTGCCTCGATGCCCAGGGACCGTATCCAGAGCCAGGCGTCCATGAATGATGCCTCATCTGGTGCACAACATTTCCATTTCTGCCACACTTTGAGCAGCCAGTTCTCCGCCCTTGCGACGGTGGAAAGGGATCGATTCCCAGCTGGGACATTCTCTGTGTCAGAGAATTCGACGCAGGTCAGGGCATCTCTGAGGCAAAAGCTAAAGGAAACAAAACCCAGACCTAAATTGGTCTTAGCCAGCCTTAGAAAGCCTTCCAACCGGACTATTGGACCCTTGCAGGCAGACCACGTCACACGAGCACCCCTTCTGGGTAGTGGCTGTTGACTCGCAGGCCAGCCTTGGGAGAGGTGGCTCACAGCGAATTGCCGTGAGTCTGCTCGTTTTCCGTGTCAGTTGATGAAGTCTTTTTTTGGGGGGGGGTCTTTTACTGTTCTGCTAAGTAAAGCCTCCGGCCAGATGGAAGTGCCCCCTCCCCTCCCTGTCCTCCAGGCAAACCCTAAAAATAACAGCCGAGATATTCTATTCTGGAGGAAGCCTTTCTGAAAGACAAACGGTGGGAAATTAATTAGGAAGTTTATAGTGCTCCACCGAGAGGACGGGCTAATGGTGCGTGCTGATGTGCTTCAGTTTGGACAGCTTGCTTTATGGGGCGATGCACATTCCTCCATCCTCCAAAACTGGAAGTGAGTGCACGTGCGCACACATGCCTGCTGGTGCAAACGGCAATTTATTACACTGTGTGTGTGTGTGTGTGTGTGTGTGTGTCTGTGTGTGTGTGTGCACGTGCGTGTGTGTGTGTGTGTGTCACACTCTTTCCCCTCCCAATTCTTTCCAGTTGACTTAGGTTTCCCTCATTCTCCTTCCAGCCTTGCTTTTTTTTTGGGGGGGGGAAGAGGAGAACCCTGACCAGGTGGTAGAGATCAAGCTGTCCCCATGACATCTAGCGAGTTTGGAGAGGATCCCCTGATGCACCCCGCACTCCATGTGGCATCGACGTTGGTGTTAAGGGCAGCTCTTTCCATGGAGCATGGATGCTGGGCTTTGCTGGGAACGTCATTAAAACGACACTCTTTCTAGCTATGTGTCCGGCTCCGGCTGTGAAGACTCCCTGACACGGAGAAGGGAAGAAGCCTGGAAAGTGGGGGTTGGGGAGAAAGGGAGGAGGAGGCGGTTGATCCCAGTCGCTCAGAATCTTGCACCAGGAACCTAGCGGAGAGCCTTCACTCTGATGCTTCCTCCGTGCTGGCCCAGATCCACCCTCAGAGGTCCACAGGGCTGGCATCCTTCCCACAAGTCCAGGAGGATTTTCACATCAGAGGCTGGAATCGGCTCCTCCTGGCCCTGTGCGATTGACTACAGTGGCGCCTCGACTTACGAACTTAATTGGTTCCTGAAAATGGGCCGACATGGTCGTAAGTCGAAGCACCCTCTCCCATAGGAATGCATTGAAATGCAATTAATCCGTTCCAGCCAAAGTGTGTGTGTGGGGGGAAATCACACACATAAAAAATCACTGCAAGGCTCCTTGGAAACACGATTAATCCCTTCTGGCTGCAGGGGGGGGGGAGGGAGAAAAGCAATCAAGCGTACAAGACCTATCGGAAATGCACAGAAAACAAGCCAAGCCACCCTCCTGCCTCCGTTTTTGACCCCAACTGGCCTTTTGGTTTTGGGATCATTGTCAGCGGAGGAGACAAAGCTGCTTTGGCCTAAAAAAAAAAACACCCCCAAAACATTTAAGGGACTGACCATTGGGAGACTTTTTACTGGCACCAGGACTCTGTTTATGGACAACTTCTCTCTGTGTGTGTAATATATGGAAGAGAGGCAGAAAAACTGTTACTGGAAACGAATCAGTCCCAAACTCTTTTGCGGATCTATTCATGCTAATTCTCCCCCCCCCTCCCGCCTCTGGAGTCCATTACATATTTCCACATTAGGTATTTCTTCACCTCTTCCCCCCCCCCATGCCCTCCTATCGCCTCTTAGGAGGCCACACCAAAGACGGGGGGGGGGGGTCTTTCCTTTTCACTTTCCTTTCTTTCCCTTAAAGAACAAACTCTCCCCCTTTTTTCCCCTCTCTCTCTCTGCAGAATTATGCTGCTATGAAGCTGGTGAAGCCGTTCAGCTGAATCCGTGCCGGAGGAGAGGGAGAGCTGCCTGGGAAGAGAGGCTGGAGTGCTCAGTGTGTGATCTGTCTCCCTCTCTCGCACGCTCTCTCGGGCAGAAGGGAAGGGGCAGCCGTGCCTCCTGGCACACGGGCGCCACCCTTCCCCCACAAGCCGTGACATTCATGCTATTCCCCTATCCAGCCAGCCCTGCAAACGATGCGCAGGTGACCGTGCTGAACAGACCTTTTCTCCCTGGGGGCCTTTCTTTTCGGGGTAGACTTGAGAGAAGATGGAGGCTTTCCTTTGGCACACAGGAGATGCGTCCCTGTGTGAAGCAGAGCCATTGAGGAGGATCCCGGCATGCTTTCTATGCAACCGCACAAGGCCTTAATGACATCTTCTTGAAAAATGGGCAGCACTAAATGGTCTGGAAGGGGAGAGATTTGGAAGGCCACAAGGAATTTAGCCTTCAGGATCTTTCCCCTCCCCTCCCGCCTATGCGCCAAGTGCTCCTGTTGGCCAGCCATAGACACCACGCTCTGCTTTCCGGGCGTCTCTCTCTCTCTCTCTCTCTCGAGTTCTCTGCCTGGTTTTGCCTCCTCGAAATGCTGTGCATGTTCCCGAGGTCTCCTCCTTGCTCCCCTCCTGCCAGCAGGACCCCAAGAAAGCTCATCTGCACGGGGGAGAGCCGTGGGGTTACCCTCTGGAACGCGTGCCTCTTGAGCCTGTGCCCTTGAGCCCTGTGGGGCATCCTCTTGCCAGGGGAGGGCATCGTGGCATCCTCGACGGCGACTCAGGGGTCTTTTGAGCTCCCAGCCAAAGACGGGGGTTCTTTCTTTTTTCACTTTTCTTTCTTTCCCTTAAAGAACAAACCCTCCCCTTAGTGCTCAAGAGCGTGCTGCTTATATACGGTCCCACAAGTGCTTAAACTCTGGGCGGTTTACAATTTAATGATGCAGGCGACACTTTGCCCCCATCGCACCCCAGCAAGCTGGGTTCTCAACTGACTGACCTTGGAAAGAAGGAAGGCTGAGTGAACCCTGAGCCAGCTACCTGGGATTCAATCCAGGTTATGAGCAGAGTTTTGGCTGCCGCACTGCAGTTTAGCCCCTGCGCCGCAATGCCACCGCTCGGAAGTGTGAAGCTTTTACAAACTTTGCAGCCGTATTTATTTTTGTGCAATGTTTCCCATTTCTCCTTTCTGGCACCCAGACCGTGCCGTTAACAGTTCCCTGCAGAGGCGGCTGTGGAGAATCTCCATACGGAGGGCGTTTTATTTTTCAACTCGCCTGAAGACCTCAGGACGTGCTTAACAATCTGTTGTCTCTGTTTTTGCAGCCGGGGCCCTCAGTTCCACGACCACCAAAGGGACGTATTCTCACATCTGCACGCGTGCAAGGCTGCCTTCTCCAAGAGGGTGGCGTCCAGCTGTTTAGACTGCAACTCCCATAATATCACAGCCAGCCTAGCCTGGGAATTGTAGTCAAACAGCCGGATGTCACCAGACTGGGGGAAAATCACTGTTATGACTGGAATACAAAAGTGTAGTCAAATGATCGCATAAATTAACAGACTGTTTACATGCCAGCAATTTAGCTCCCACCACATGTACTAAAGAAGATTAATTAAATGTCTAAGATAATGCGACTGAAGAAGCCTGGTCAAAAATAGCCTAAAATCATTTTAATATTTTACATTTGTTTGAACTTTATCTATATTTCATAGACGTCCATAATTTTAAATCATGCAATGCTCTGATATGAATTTAAAAAGAACATACTGAGAATCTTTTGATTACTTAGCCAGACAATTTCAAACCAAATCGTAACCATTCTTATATATTTTACATTTTTAAATTTTTAGCAGTTTCCGTGCTTCCTTTGAAGATCATAATCTTCCTGTTCTTACAGAATAAAAACAATGAAAAATATATTAGTCTGAGTCACCTCAAATGTAAACTATTTTAAATAAACCCGGTTTCAGTCAAATACAAGCTCTGAAGAGCGGCCAGCAGCCAATAACATAAATGTTGTAGTTAAAAGCCAGGGAGCACAGATAATTTAAAAAGAGAGAGCCCCTTAAAAGCAGCCGCCTGGGGGAGACAGCCCTGTTTCTCTTGAGAGGGAATTCTGTTGTTTTTTTTTTTTCCTGTCGTGCTGGGATGGGCTAGCGAGCAGGGCACCCCAGAGGGAGCCTCAAGAGAAAATCTTCTGGAAAGCATTCAAGAACGGACAACCCCCCTCCCTGCCCCCAACAAACCAGAATTAGAGATGGATTTTCCAAAATTTGCACAATTTTTCAAATTGAGTAGAAAAAACTAAGATGGAGTTTTCCTCCGAAAGAAAAGGAAGGAAGGAAGGAAGGAAGGAAGGAAGGAAAGGGAATGGAAGGAAGGAAGGAAGGAAGGAAGGAAGGAAGGAAGGAAGGAAGGAAGGAAGGGTTGCCAGCTAAGACAGGTGCAGAAGTGCCTTCAAGCCAAGGGGCTCCGATCTAGATTGTTTTTCCATCCTTACAACCATGGCGCTCGGCGATGGAGGATTGTTCTCCGAATTAGCGCAAAGGATCTTTTGCAACCTGGCAGTGCCAGGCAGTCCCGGTCTTTTCACAATTGAGGGGAGATGCTGCTGGCGACAGAACCAGCCGCCCCCTGCGAGCCGTCCTGGCGGAGTCCGTTTGCCCGGGAAGGATCCACGTTCTCACCTGGGTGCCAAGATCAATAGCCCAAAGGCTGCCGCCCACCCTAGTCGAGGCCAAAGAGAACTTTGAAGGAGGCCCTCTTGAACGTTCCACGCGGCCCATCGTGGCTTTGGCCCCACCAGGCTCGGGAGGGGGGTGCCTTCTGCCTGGCTCTCAGGGAGTGTGTGGATGGGTTGCAGGCATCGCCTCCGTTCTGCTTCCTGATCAGGGTGCTTTGGGCGTCGTGGAGAGAACAGGCTTCCTCCCCACCTCAGAAAAAGAAGAGTTTTGTATTTTTGCAATATTACGAAAGGCCCTCCTGTAGCCTTGATCTCGGCTGCAACTGAGACAAACCAGAAGCCAGATATAAAACTTGCTTTAGAGCCGCCCCGGAGCTCGGTCTCTTTGAAAGGAGGGTGGCTGGGAGTTTTCTGCATCACCTGTATATGCCTTCGAAGAAGTCTAGCAATTGCACTGTGGTTACCAATGAAATGCTATTAAACCTTCTGAATGCTGGTGGTGTTTTATTTTCCAGAGCATGGGCCCTGAGAGGGGGTGGCGGTGGGAGATGCATGCATGCAAGCACAACTGATTCCACTTACAAGCAAAGCACACCGCCGTGTTCCTCCGTTCCACCATGGTCTTTATTATCTCTGCTTCTCTGGGTAAAAACATGAAGGTATGGAGAGACAGCTCAGTGGTCCTTGCCCTGCTTTTGCTTTGTCTCCCCAGGTAATTGGGCAGAGACAGGCCAGTCCTGGGGTGCTCTCAGGACTGTCTGGGGGGGGGGGCTGGACCTCAAAGCTGAAAAGGTATGAGCAGCCCATCCAGGCCAGCATCTAAGAGGGGCCAACCAGATGCTCTTGAAAGCTGCTTTTCCACAATGTCTGGGGCCGGTTACTGCAGACTGGATGGGGTGTATGAATCCTACTTGGGGTGGAGAGAGTCGGCTGTCTTTTCTCCCTCTTCTTTATAATACGAAAACCCAATAGGGTCATCAACTGAAATGGAGAGGTGGGAAATCCAGGACGGATCCTTCTCCACATACTGCATGGAGCTCCATGTTTGTTACCATCGCAAAACAAAATCCAGAATCCAACCCCATTTATGGTGGGCCCATCAAATCAACGGGATTTGCATGCCTACCGCCTCAGCTGCCCCCGGCCGACTCGACCCGAGTCCAGCAACTTATCAGCGGCTCCCGCCGTGGGCAGCATTTGAGAGTGGTGAGAGAAATTCGAGAGGCTGAGGCCATAAGAGGGCAACTTCTCAGGATGGCTCAAGGTTGCCAGGAGCAGAGGCAGAAGAAGATCTTGGAAACGGAGCTGCGTGGGAGGGGAGTGCAAAGGGTTAGGGTGAGTGTGCTTGCCCTCGTGTCCCGCTGGGACATCTCGTTGGCACCTGGTTGCCCCCACCAGAAACCAAAATATTCTTGCCTTCTTAAAGTCCACAAGGGGAGCACAGGAGCGGACAGTCTCCCTGCCGTAGGTTCCAGAAAACCCACAGATCCATGGCGGCATTTGAAAAGCAGGAAGGCTGTGCGGTGCATGCCCCTTTTGACGCATAGAGGCTGTTTTTGGGAAACGTTCTGGTAGGGGCTGCCTACCCTGAGTTCAGGCACCGCCGGGGAAACCCGGTTCCTGGGGGCTTTCTCCCTGACATGCGTCCTTTCGGGAAGTACAGCTCACGCTCTGCCTCGGGGTAGTGGAAGCAAGGCAGGATTGATCCCCAGTTAGGAATGCAGTCACATCCCCGCCAAAATCATTTCAGACCCATGGTGGAAGGCTTCCCACCTACCCACCCCACTTCGCACACACCCCCGGCGGTATTTTGTGCCAAGAACTCTTCTCCGGGCCTTGCGCACCACCTTCTCCACAGCTTCCTCATACCTCTCCGATCGTGTAATCGCCCGCAGCCCCTTCGGAGACTCGCTTTTGTCCATAATGCTTTTTGCAGGAACCCTGTCAAAAATATGAAGGCGTCCGCCAGATGCATAGTTTCTTCTCCTCCGGGCTGGTTTTGTCCCCAAAAAAACTCCAGATGGGTTTGAAGTCCAGACTGGAACACGTGTTCATAAAAGGGTCCTCCTGCGCGGCTTTCTTTTGATGCTGAAAGGCAGACTGGCGGGAAGAGTTCGCTGACTGGTTGGAGGGAGCAGCCAGAGGGGCTCCGTCTGTGTGGGTCGGGAAGAGAAATCTGGAAAGGGATGGGACGAAGTTGGCCGGCGGATGAGAGGAGGGAGGCCTGCCTACACGGACACCCAGGGAGTGGAACAGGTCTCCCATGCAGATCCTTCCCTCAGGCGGGAGACATATTTCCCTTCGGTCCTTCAATCCGTAGCGCCACAATTATGGAACTCTCTCCCGCCTGACGTCCGCCCGGCCCCTTCACTGAACACATTCAGAAAGCTGCTAAAAATAGTATGGCTATTTGGACAGGCCTTCCCTGAATAAACTACACTCTGATACAACAGTGTCCAATAATATAACTTCTATCATATTGCCATGCTCCATGTTTTTATTTTCTCCTATGCTTTTAATTACATTTATTGTATTATTATTTTATCCTCACTTCACTTCATGATTTTTGATTTTCACCACTATGTATTAATGTCACTATTTGCTATTTTGTTACTCTGTTATTGTTGTTTTTTTGTTGTTTGTTATAAACCACCCAGAGTGGCCTTGGCTGCCAGATGGGCGGTATATAAATCGAATAAACAAACAAACAAACCCTAACATTTCCATTGAGTGGGTTCTAGGCTCTTTGCTTGACCCCCATGAGAACGCCATCGGACTGAAGCTTAGCCATGAGGCTTGTGGCTCAGATGGGCTCTGTTGGAAGCCCATCTCTTGCATTTCATGGAATTAGGCAGTTGGAAGGGACCTGTCGAGTCCAACCCCCTGCTCAGTGCCAAAGCCGCTGAGAATTTTGGTACTTCCCTCCCTCCCCGCCGAAGGAGGCCCACTGACAGACAACATATTTCTTTGAGAAGTTGCCTCTTCCCCCCTGAAAGTGCTCCTGTGCACCCTCTAGAGGCCAATAATTTATTTTTCAAAAGGGTTTGGAGGCTTCGCAAAGCATGGCAAGACCGCTTTCTACGCCACTCAGATGGTGCAAGGGAATTTACTGGAACAAGTTTTTTTAACAAAAGGGGTGGAAAGGCTGTGGGCCTCTGCTCCAACTCGCCTCCCTTGGTCGCTCTTGCGAGCGGCAGTTCAGTTCCTGAACCCTTTTTAGAACGCAAAGCTTAAGCGCTCCCTTGTCCCCTGCCCTGGTCAGCAGCCGG